AACTAGATCGTGAGAGGCAGAAAGCTGAAGCAGCTGCCCACCGGATAGCCCGCCAAGCCGCCCACAAACGACTTCAGAAAGCTATCAAAATCTCACAAAGGGGAAAGAAGCCTACCTTCAAGCGCTCTACTGAGCTAGCATCAAAGAATATTATCGTTGGCAGTAGTAGTGGTGGTGCGCAGCGAGCTAATCGATCAGCTGCACCACCATCACCACGCTCGCGTTCAGGCCGCCCCATCAAGCTGCCAATCAAATATCAGTAGATAGATCAAATAAACAATACTACGAGATTACTATACTAGAGTTTCTCGCGATAATAGCTTTTATGTAGAGCTCTACAGCTTCAAGTTTGTGATAGTACTGTTGGGGAGAAATCCGGCGTTGGCCCGTCCGCGGCGTTGGCCCGTCCGGCACCTCTAACTTAGCGGCGGCCCCACCATAGCCTCCCACGCCCACCATTGTCATCAACTACTTAACTTACATGCTTCCATTCGTTGAAGGTGCTAGATATTATGATTGTTTGGAACTATAGATATGGCAGTTGAGTTAAGTCGGTGTACCAGGTAGCATAGCCCTGCTCTAGAGAAAGTCGTATATCAGTCTTGAATACGGGTTAAATAAGGGTAGTTATTGGTATTGCAGAAAATGAGATTGGAATTAGTGGAAAACGGCCATCTGTTAGTTTGTACCTAATTTAGCTCTAAAGATATAACACGAATTACCAAAACAGGACTATCACAAAAGAATTTGAATAAAATTGAAATATTACCACTTCATATAATTTCTGTACAAAAAAGACCAAACTGTATTCTGAATGAGTACAGCCTCACTCTTCCACATCCACACATGCAGCATCTTTGCACTTCTTCTTATCACACACCTTATGGAAGTCCTTATGTGCCTTTGCTCCCTCACCAATGAGTTTGCGGAACTGCCCAAACTCACAGCTCGCACCAGGTCCATCCTGGCATGCAGGAATCGGGCGCGGAGCCGTGTTGGCAATGAACCTGACATATATGCCGGGACCGTCACCATGCTCAGCTCCTCTTTCGCATGTCATCTTCTCCATGCCCACGTGTCCAAGGAAAGGAATCAAATCACTCATTTTCCATGCACGCGTCCAATTGATGTGATCGGTAGGAAACTGTTCAGCGGCGTTGGATGAGCTATTGAAAAGTCCTAGGGCTGTTGCAATGAAAGGGGGTACTTCGCGGTGGGTAAAACCGAGAAAGAAGCGTTGCTTGTCGGGCCAGCCGTCACCAGGCGTGTCGTGTTTTTCAATATGTGCAAAGAGTTCGGATTGCGCTTGCAGCCAGGGAAATCCGAGGTAAGGCGACAGTGGATTGAGAGGCCCGACCATGTGAGCATACTTCAGATCCCAGGCATACTCGTACGCCATCCATTCCGAGTCTGTGAATTGCTCACAAATGGGGCTGCGCTCGCCTTTGATGGCAGATTCGTAGCCGCAAAGCATTTGAAACCCTACAATGTCCTTGGGCTCTAGCTCGAAGGGTACATATGGCGAAAGTCTCTTCGCAACGCTCTTGCCGTACAGCTCAATGACTTTTTCCTGCTCCTTCTGGCCTGGTTTCTTGGAAAAGTTCTTGCAGGACTTGTGTGGAATGAGGTACTCCATAGAACCATTCTTGTTCTCCGTGATGCGCACAATCTCAATGTCATTTTCTTGAGGGAAAGCCTTGATGAAGTTTTCGGCAGTGTCAAATGTCCTGCTCTTCTTGTCCGCCAATATTCTCCTTGTTTCTGGGACGAGATGTGGGTACCGTTGCAACAGATGTTTTCCAACAAGCTTTGCGTCTACGGCTCCTGATGGGGTCAAATCTTCCAATTTGTCCTCCAAGATTGGTGATTGCCATTTGCTCATGAAAGCCAGCGGTCCTGACCATCCCTGTCTGTGCTTTTCCAGTTTCCAAAGAAAAGGGCTGATGTACTCTTCATACTCATCGTCATTCGAATAGATGGCGCCATGGCGAATAATATAACTTGCCGCCGTGACATGGCAACCTACTGGTGGTGTGTGCTCGAGACCGAAACCTGTTTGCAGAATGAGTAAATTGTTCCACAGTCCATTTCGCAAAACAAGGTACGGACCTATAGCATCGAAGTAGGGCGATATGCCAGGAAGATGCAGCAGCGGGTCAAACTTGTAGTTTTGCGAATGCTCAAGTGGCCTAAGTGGTGACTGTGCTTGGCCTTGGGTCTGTAGAAACGAGGGTAGTGTCAAAGCCGAGGCTGGAGCAGCCAACAAGAAAGCAGAGAAAAACATCAGAGCCGTCACCGGGGAAGCTTTCCGTGCAATTATGGGGCCAATTGCAGTTATTTACAAGGATGGAATTTAAGAAGCTTGACATGGGGCGACGCGCTGTTTTGTTGTCTTTTTAATATTCAGTGACGTACATGGTCCCACTAGGTACTTTGGATGCGCTAGTCCAACGCGCGCCGCACCAACGCGGCAGAGCCAAGGGCTTGGATATCGTCACTTGCAGCTTGTTATCTACACCCATGTGTACAGGATCTGTGCGGTCTGTTGCGCATCGCGTTCAAGCCTAGGAAGCATGCTTGGAAACAGTTCTCAGCACTTCTCAGATGGTAGAGCGTATCTACATCCACCCAATAACCTCGATCACTCATCATGCACAAAATTCACTATAGTAGGCATCATCACAGGCTAGTGAAGATGGAAGAAGATTGCAATTTTTGGGTTGTGCAAGCAAGAGTACTAGACTATCAAGACTGGTTGGGATTGCCAACTGCGACACCGTCGTGACCGTTCCACAGCCGGATACATGTCTCCAAGTATATTGCCGCATATTGTGAATGGGATATGAGGGCTGGTGACGTGTAGATAGACACTACTTCATCACCATTACGCTTCATCAAGGTTTTCCTCTCCTGTTACAACTCTACGCGCGCAAAGACCACGGCGTTCTCATCTGCTTGACCAACGTCCTGTTGTAGGCGCCGTCTATTGTTCGTCTTGTGATGGGAGCCGTTGCTTAGTTTATCGAATGCAGTCGCGATATCGTCGTGGAGCTGATCAACCGGTGATATCTGCCATCCGAAGTAGTGTGCTTTCTGCATTAGCAGTGACAAGCATAGACGCTTTGCCGTTGTTCGTATTGGATGCTAGCCGTAGCATCGCAGACCAAATTATCATGTCCTAAATAATCAGTCGGATTCATGTTGACTGCAAATATAATGAGACTGGTAAGAAGCCTGGACTAGCACGACGCCTCAACGCTTTGATGTCAACGCCGATGGCGGAGTATGTGCGAAAGTAGACGTTGTGCGAGACCCAAGGCGACTTTCTCGAGGGGAGAAACAGGGATCATACCAGTTGACATCTGACAGTTGTAGCTTTCTTGCGCGTTGGTTGCTGCGATTGGTACCAGCCTTGTCAAGGCGCGGCTGCGCATATGGATTCGGAGTCTTGTCCAGACCTTGAAATGATTTAGTATGCTTCCCATTGGTGTTAGGCTGAAGGGTGTAAAGAAATGGTGAATCACCAGTTGTATCGTCGGCATCCTCGCGAGCTTCGTTGTAATTCAAAACAAGGCTCTTGATGCGCTGTCGTTCCTCTGTATCGGCTTGTTGCTTGTTGCGCATGGCGACAGCAAAAGTTGAGTCTGAAGGTAGGTCAATAGATCGGGTTTGCGTGCGATTGCCACGTTTGCTAAGCAGCGAGAACTTCATAGTCTGTGATGAAGGTGGAGCAACTGGAGCTGGTGCTTCGCCTCCACTGTCTTCGGAATTTACTGGAGCCTCTCGAGCGCGTCGCATGGGTAACGGCACATCAAATACAGGCTTTCGATCATGCTTGCGCGACTCTGCGCTCTCAGACATGAGCTTAGCAAGCTCACGATCGAACTCGGCGTCAGCCTCCGGGTCGCGTTCATCTTCCTGGCGTGTCACGACGATGTGCTCCTCTTCCTCGTCGGATGAAGCTTGCTTGACAGGTTCATCATCTTCTGACTCGTCTTCTTCCTCACCAGATGATTTATCGCCTTCCCCTTCTGGCATCTCAACATCCTCGTCATCTGGGCCATCCAGCTCGTCGTCGGATGCGGAAACATCATCATCATCCGGCTCCACAGGCTTATCGGTTGCTGTTGTCTGGTAGTTTTGCTTGACAGCTTCAGCAAAAGCACGTGAAGCTTCTTCTGGGTCGGTGATCATCTTCCACTGCGGACGAACAAGATTGTATGCATCCTGAACAATGAACTCTACATCCATGGGCAGGGTCTCCTTCATGCAAACGTAGTACTGCAAAAAGGTAAGGAAGAAATCGAGCTTTTTCTTTGCGGCACCTTTGTCGTAGTACATTCCACATGTTTCCAGGAGGTTACAGACCAAGCGGATGCGGAAGTAGTCGTCTGGGAGATCGAGAGGGTTGTAGACTCCAGGTCGTATATATCCACCCTCCCAGCCGTAGTTCAAGAGTTTGTAGAGAGTGTCAAATATAAGCGGCGAATCAACAAGCCGATATATATACAGCTCTCCGAGATACTTGACTTCCGAGATCCGCCGCTGATTGAACTTGAAGTCGTTCAACTCCAATCCGAAGGTGATGGATTCGAGTAGGTCATCGACGACGGAAATGGCAAAGTCTTGATGGAACCGATGAATGGTTCCTAGCATCACGGCGAGAAGGTGAATGTTGCTGTACTTGATCTTTCCTGGCTTTGCAAACACTTTGTGAAGGAGATTGACCACGTCTTCTTCCTCCCAGTGCATCTTGCGAATCTGCTTGATGGTTTTGTCGAGCGAACGACGGGTCAAGTCCTGGTACATGATCTTACGTAGGAAAAGCTCAATCGGGGTGCGTTCCTTCTGTTCAATTGCGGCACGTTGTGGAGGGTTCACGTAGTAGACGGCGTTTTCGATCAGCATACGCTCCTGCTGGCCGATGACCTGGGCCCCTTTCTTGCGCTGGAGAGTTTCCAGGAAAGAGGCCATGCGAGGAGATGTTTCCGGGTTGCGGAGTAGATATCGACCACAGTTCTCCAACAGGTTGCAAATAATCTCAATGTTCATGCGTGAAAAGTCGTCCAGGCTGACCTTGAGACAATGGAAAATGACGTGCTCGGGAACGACACCGAACTTGGTCAACTCGGCGAGGTAGCGAACATTCTGTGTACGCACTTGGCCAAGAAAGTCTTTGGACTTGCGCCGTTGCAGGCTTCTAAACTCCTCATCCAAGTACGACACTAGTCCTTGCGGGACATCAGACATGTACTTGCCGAGTGTTGCAATCAGTCTAGAATAAAGAGGCAGTAGGTCGGACCGTCCTTTTGGAATTTCCTGGACAGCCTTGATGAGGCGATTGCGTGAAGCTTTAGAGTTTAAGAAGCAAAAGTCCATTGCAGTCTGGTCTACTGCATCCTTGGTTGCAAGTTCTGGTAGGCGTGCCAAAAGAGCATCGACCTGTGCGCCAACAGATTTGTTGGCAATGGCAGTGGACTGGTCATCCCCATCGGCCACTTTACTATCAGCAACATTGTCGGCTGCTTCCTTTTCGGGGCTCTCAGCCTTGGGCTCAATCTTCTTGCCAACTTGCTCATCGCCATCAGCCTTCTTCTTCTTAACTTCCTCGAGCAAAATGCCCGGGACGCGGTCTTTCAAGTCAATTAGGTTCTCGTAGAATCGACGTTCTTCCTCGTCTTCCCAAATACCAGCTCCGTCGCTTTGACCACGTAGGTATTCGCCAGCTTTGATTAGACCAATCGAGCCATCACCCGTGTTCGCAGAGCCGTCCTTTTCCTTCAAGTCGGGCATATCTGCATTCAGCGCGTCAGCCAAGATTTGAGCGTTTGCAATGAGCTTTTCTTGCGACTTCATCTGCTTCTCATAGTTGGACTGGCGATCTTCAAAGACCTCTCCAGATTTGACATATGCTTCGGCATTCTTGCGGCCTTGGCTAAGTATGTGTTTTTGATCGCGAAGGAGATGTGCTTTGACATCTTCAAAGTAACGGCTGAGAATGTTTTTGAATCGCTGCTGCAGTTCTGGGGAAATAAGCGGCGGGTCTTTGCTGGCTTCATCTTCTTCCTCGGCGCCAGACAAGTCACCGTTCTTTTCGGGCACTGTGGTTCCATCATCATTGACAGTCTTGCGGCCCTCTGCAGAAGGTGGTTTGGTGCCGAGTATATCCCATGCAAAAGCTTTGACAAATATGACAACCAAAGGCAAGTTGACGTGTTCACGGTCATGCCCCAGCATGTCCTTCAAGACTTCCAGCGGGAAAGGCTCAGCGTCAGCATTTTCTGCGCGAGACTTTGTCTTTGTCGAGCCCTCAACAAGCTTGCCATTGTCTTTGCCCTTGCTCGCTTCTTCGGGACGGGTTACGTCATCCAGGCTTCTCAGGACGCCCACAAGCCAGAGTTCTGTAGCAACACGTAGAAGCACACGCTGGCGTGCCAGGCGCTCTTTTTCTTCCCGCTCGCGCACATCCTGTGCGAGGGTTTTCAGGTGTGACTTGTCCGGGGTTGCAAGTCCCCTCCCCATGTACCAGCCAATATATCCAGTAAATTCGGCGGGGCCAAAACGTTGGTGCAGAGCGCTAACAATTTCAACACCGGCGGCAATTTCTCCTGGAGTCTTGAGTTTGCACAGACCTTCGTAGCAGGCGGAAATGATTTCGGAGAGGTATTTGTGGAGGGACAAGGCGCGGATTTCTTGGAGGAACTGGGCTTGGGCAGGTGCATTGATGGCGGTTCGGAGGCGCTTGATAAAGGCGGTGTTCTTTTTCATGGACGAGTCGAGTGAGGCTTGGACGGCAAAGATATCTGTTGTACGGTCAGCAGGAGAGTGGGGTAATTGTCAGCGTGGTAGAGTCGTTTACCTTGGTCGCCATCCCAGGCGCGAATATTGAGTTCACGCAGCTCTCCTGGTTACTGTTAGTAGCAGGCAAAGAAGCAGCATGCAGGAGCCTACGCTTTCTGTGCCGCTCCATGGTGGAGTAGGCGATGCCGCAGCTGTGGAGGGGCAGCGGACGATAGCACGGATCGGTTATGATACGCGCACATGGAAGACGGGAGATATATCGGGCGCAGCTGCTACCTGCATTTGTCTGGGCTTGGTTGAACAAGCTGGAGTGAGAGGATGGGTGTTTGCGACTCTGGCAATGCCGAGGCGGAGGGGACTTCTGGTCTGGTTCCGCGCTGGTGTGAGTGTAAAATGTACCTGCAGCGGCTTCACTTGTCGTGACTGTCCGTGCGTCATTCCAGTCCAGCGTCCCGCGGTTGAGAGAGGGTTTAGGTGACTAAGCGCATTTTTAGATGTGCCAGGCCAATCGTGGTGCTCCGGCTCTCACTAGTCGTCGACTTGAATTGCACCCCATGGACAACTACAAAAGTCCATGATAATCAATGACAGTTGCATGTTATTGGTTCAAGGATGGGCAGTCGTGAGCTTCAAAGAGGTTGATTGCACAGCTTTGCAACCATGATGTGCTGAGTAGAGTAGAGCTCTACTACTACAGGGTACCATCAAGCGTAGCAGGACAGCCACATCAAGCCGACCATGTGTCTTTGGCGGCGCACGCGATTGACACGATACAGACATGACAAAAAGCACATATGCATGTAGCCGGTGTTGCAGGTTGTATGTATCAAGTATGTATGTATGTATTTGCTCCAGGGCTGCGACACAGGACAGGATACTAGAGCTTTTGCGGCAGCATTGCCAAGCGAGGACGAAACCGACCAAGACGATCTGGTACCATTTTCGCATATTGCACATGGCCAAGGACCCTCTTCCAGAGAGTTTCGAACCATGTTAGGTATACATGTACAGAGTTGGACGAGGCCTCCAGTGGCGGCGTTACCAGACAGGCAGAAGCAATAACGGGAAACTGAAACAGCAAAACCAATAGCGTCTTAATCTCTACAGAACAAGTAAACCCCTGAATATGGAGGGCAGGGCACCTGGCTTAGTTTGCGACTGGGCTCAATTTACATTTAGATGGAACACTGGGCCGGACAGATGGTATCATGAGGCATCTTAGTCTACGTAAATAAGTAGCTTTGGGGGTGGTGGACAGGTGTGTGTAATTCAGGGGAGAGGACGAGTACGAGGGCAAGGCTGAGGTGGCAGCGTCAAGCAGTATGTACATAATACGGCGGCGCTATGGCGGATGATTCGCGAAGAGACATGGGGGGGGGGGCGGGCTAAATGGCCGTACTTCCTTACGAGGAGGCTCCGAGTGAGCGGTGTGCTGCTCAACATGGCAAGGGTTGAGCAGGTGGGAAAAGCAGCAGGCCAGCAGGCTGGAAGCATAGGCGTGGATGCAGACGCGTGTGGCATGTGGCGGGCGATTGAGTTTGCATTTGCATTGGAACATGGACACATGGATATGGACACCTACTTTCCCATGGCGACGGGTCTGCAGGCCAAAGACAGCGCAGGAGCAGGAGCAGAGGCAGAAGCAGAAGCAGGAGCAGGCGAGAGTCAGCACTATCGATTGCGCGCCGGCGGACGCATGAGCGGATACGGGATGGCGAAATTTACACCTAATACTAACTGGTGGCTGAAGTGGCTCCCGAGGTGCAACAACCATGTTTCCATATGCGACATGACGAGGACCACGCCGAGAGGAGCAGTGGCAGGTGGGGGGGGGGGGGGTTAAAAATGGCCAGCTGCGGGTGTCGGTACAAACGGATGCAGCACGGGGCCTTTGTGATTATCATTGGGCAGCGTGTTGGGACTGCCACAGCCGCCTTGTGCTTTTTTTTCTTGCAGCGGGTCGCTCTAGCATCCCCACTGCATGCTCGTATTTTGGCAAGAGTATTTTTCCTAGCGCTCAATGCTCCCCGGTATAGCGGCGCAGGAGAAGCCGAAAGAAAGGGGAGGGAGGGGGAGCGTTTGTTGTCACAGGCAGAGTACGAGCGAGCAGCGACTTCCGCGCAATGTGACAGACGGACATGACAGGCAGCCTTGCCGTCGGAGTTTCAGGACAAACATGAATCGACGACTAGGTATTAGATGCTACATAGGAACAACGGCAGAGGCGCGTGGTGGCTGACATGTTTGGGTGTCTGGGGAGGGAGAGGGGGAGGGCGTGAGCGGGTGGTGTGGTGTGGGCGTGTGTGCAGGCCCCCTGAATGCCCAGTGCCCAGTAGGCGGGCGAGGCTAGCCAGGACTTGGCAATGCTATAGGCACGTAGCGGCATGGAAGCAGCGTCCTAATCTCCAATCGCTATGCGCACGCGGTGACAGGACGTCATGTTACAGTGCCATCCATCGTCCTCATGACGTGCGTGGGTTTGTCGCGGCTATTGTGGCCGTTGCCATGTGCCGTGAATGGAGCTGCACGCCGACTGCCATGCTTGCTAACACGCTGTTCCAAGGCCCAAAAATTCCCCGGGGCTGGAGAGCAATAGCAGCAACGCATGGAACCAGCCAGCGAGCGAAACCCAGACGAGGAACCAAAGACGGAGAGGGCCAATACCAGCGGGCGTGCGGTGTACAAGATTCTAGCCAGGCGACGGCAGGGGGCCGGCGCCCAAAATAAACGTGCAATGGACGACTAGTAGCGCGTGCAATAGTTAGTATGAGATGGTAATACCGTGTAGGGGCAGACACGCCCCAGCGCCCCTGCACGACGTTCGTTTTCGAGTCAAGGACGCGGGCAGGCCTGCCTAAGCGGGCGCCACCCTCCCCTGTGCCGATCGCGCCTTCCAACTGCCGCCCAGCCACGCTAGCCCGCCCTGGGATATGGTGCCGTGGCCCAAGCGCTCCCGCTGTGTCTCCCACCAGCCTGTAAACCAGCAAAGTCCCGCTGCGAGACCAACGACGACTCTTGTTCCGTTTCACCTGCAGGCGCCTCTTTGCATCTGCTTGCTTCCTCTCCCAGCCTGGCCGTTGCTCCTCGCCTTATTATCGTCCATGATCCTGCCCTGAGCCCTGCCTTTGTTTGCTGCCTTTGTTCCCAACCTTTACACTCGTTTACCACGGCTCTGCACCCTCCATCCCCCGCTGCGTTAAAAAGCCTGCCGCCAGCGCTACTGCTACCGCTGCCTTTGCCGCCGCCGCCGCCACAAGCCACGGCCGCCATCGACAGCTAGCACCAGGCCCCGTGTGCACCGCATTTGTGCAATCTCACTCTTCACTAGAGCCCTATACGACCATTTTCTAGTCTCGTACCACTACTACTACTGCTGCTGCTGCTGTTGTTTCTCAACTCCACGGCGCTGTCGCCACGACTGCACCTTTCACGCTCGCTCCATAGCTGTCCGCGACAGACATCAACACTCGCTACTTCTACCCAACGATATCACGACCACATACTCCTAATTATCCACCATGGCCTCGCACCACCTCATGGGCCTCGAAGCCCGAGCAGATGACAGCATCCCTGACTTCACCGACCCATGGCCAACAAAAGACGTGAGTGTTTTGTTTATCCGCAAACTTGTCGTTTCTCTGCTCACTGACTGCGCCAGATCGTCTATGTCTCCATCATCGCCCCTCTCATGCTCATGGCCCTGCTAGAGTGGTTTCTATGGGTCGCTGCATTCATGTACTGCATCGTCAAGGTTTTCCAAAAGGCAGAGACCATGAGCGTGCGCATTCTATCCATCTTCTTCGGTATTCTCTTCTTCCTTCTCCGGTAAGCTACACTTCCTATCCACAAGAGACTGCTTCTGACAGCAATAGTGCCATCTTCTTGCCCATCATGGTCGTCACCCTGCCGCTCCCCCCGCAGGTCACCAAATACTTTCCCCAAGAAATGGTTGGCTTCCTCCAGTGGTTTGCCTTTTGGTCCTTTGCTGGTCTTCTGACAGTTCCCTGGCTGTTCTGCGTCTACCAGCTGGTCACCCACTCGGTTGGTCGCTCCCGCAGGATCAAGTCGGTTCTCGACGAGTCGTCGGCTCCCAAGGTCGTCATTGTCATGCCTTGCTACAAGGAGATTCCTGAGATTCTACTGCGAACTTGCGATTCGCTTGTCGATTGTGAATACCCACCTTCTTGCCTGCACATTTTCCTCTCGTTCGACGGAGACCAGGAGGACGAGCTCTACCTCAACACCATCGAGAAGCTTGGTGTGCCCCTCACTCTCGACTCGTACCCAAAGTCCATCGACGTCATCTACCGTAGCTGCCGTATCACAATCTCGCGTTTCCCCCACGGCGGAAAGCGTCACTGCCAGAAGAGGACCTTTAAGCTGATTGACAAGATCTACACCGAGTACCTCAAGCGCAACGACAACCTGTTTGTGCTCTTCATCGATTCCGACTGTATTCTGGACAAGACGTGCATTCAGAACTTCATGTACGAGATGGAGCTCAAGCCTGGCAGCAAGAAGAACATGTTGGCCCAGACTGGTGTCATTACATCAACGACCGAGAAGCAGTCCCTCATCACCCTTCTCCAGGATATGGAGTACGTTCACGGTCAACTGTTTGAGCGTTCGGTCGAATCCGGTTGCGGTGCCGTCACCTGCTTGCCCGGTGCTCTTACCATGCTTCGATTCTCAGCCTTCCGCAAAATGGCAAAGTACTACTTCGCTGACAAGGCCGAGCAATGTGACGACCTCTTCGATTATGGCAAGTGCCACTTGGGCGAGGACCGTTGGCTCACCCACTTGTTCATGGTCGGCGCCAAGGAACGTTACCAGATCCAAATGAACCCCGGTGCTTTCTGCAAGACTGAAGCTGTGCAAACCTACCAATCACTGCTCAAGCAACGTCGCCGCTGGTTCCTGGGTTTCATCACCAACGAAGTGTGCATGTTGACTGACATCCGTCTCTGGAAGCGCTACCCTATTCTTCTCGTCGTTCGCTTCATGCAGAACACCATCCGAACAACTGCCCTCCTCTTCTTCATCCTGTGCATTTCTCTTATGACCACTTCGCAAGCAGTCAAGAACTTGCCCGTCGGTTTCATCGCCATCTCCCTTGGACTCAACTGGCTTCTCATGTTGTACTTTGGTGCCAAGCTCGGCCGCTACAAGATCATGTTGTACCCCCTCATGTTCGTCATCAACCCCTTCTTCAACTGGATGTACATGGTCTACGGTATCTTCACTGCCGGTCAGCGCACATGGGGAGGACCACGTGCCGATGCTGGAACTGCCGATGCCAAAACAACTCCCCAGGAGGCTATTGAGAACGCAGAGGCCAACGGTGATGATCTCAATGTCGTTCCCGAGACATTCAAGGCTGCCGCCGAGGCTAAGAAGTCCCACGCGGGTGGCGCTCCTCTCCAGCCCTCAGACAACATCGATGGACGTTTTGCTGCCGCAGAACGCTTGCCCAACGGATGGTACCAGCAAGGCAACGACTCTGGCCTCACTCTGCCCAATACCATGCCCCGTAACCCCAATGTTCCTCACGTTCCTCTGCACCCACGTACTTCGATGGATTCTTTCGCCTCCTACGACACCTCTGCCAACAACTCGGTCTACCTCCCCCGTCGTGTCGAGAGTTTCATGGATCCCGAGGATGCTCGCGTATACCACAAGACGCAACAGACTCAGAAGCCTGCCGGTGGTGCCTTCTTCGAGGAGCCTCGCACTGGTCCTTACCAAATCGGTGCCGGTGCTAGCAAGGGCATGTACAGCGAGTCGGTTGACTCCGTCGACGACGACTCAGTCTATAACTCCAAGAACACTCAACGACCGGGACAATCGCGCACCTCGCCCCTCTCTGCTGAGCAGAAGTCTCCTCTTGAGTCGCCAAAGCCATCATACAACCGCTCAAACAGCATGGACCAACGACAGGGACGCAGCCCCCTTGCGTACCAGAGCTATGTCCAGACTACACCAGGTGATGACATTGAGCTTCAGGCCCCTCAACAGAGCAGTTTGATGCGCGACGTATCACCTGCGCCGCTTGGTCAGCCCGTCATCCCCGCCGCAAGCCATGGACGCAGTGATTCGACCGACTCCAAGAAGCGAAACAGGCTCAGCAAGCAGAAGCCTAGCAAATAAGCGCAATCTCTCTTTCGTTTGAGCGTTTCGATTCTTGTTACATCTGCAACTCAAATAGTCGCTCGGCAGGCGTTCTAGCATTCCCTTTTCCTCATCGTCTTACACTTTGTCATGCATTTGGATTCTTCGGCGTTTATCAGCAAAATACCACACAGCTTGTGGCCTTGCGGACTTTTATTGGTGTATATAACACTTTTTGGCTATCACTATACAATGATTGGGGGGTTGACTGGAAAAATTACGGTTTGCTGCACGACGTCAGCGGCTTATGATATGGCGTCGCTCATGAGTGGAGAGCTCTTGATTACAAAAACCTTATTAAGGTTGATACACGTACATGGGACCATGTGATGGGCTGGATAAACCGTTGTCCTTAATGTCTAGACTATATCTTGAAAAAGACGAGCAATTGATACGTATTTTTGCTAACAGACTGTCAAACGCATTCCATGTGATGACTTTGCTGAACAATGATTTGATCAAGTGAATAACTAGTGTTCAACTATCGTCGGCAATTCATGCAAGCGCAACGCTTGAAGGCCTTGGCCGCCTAGTTGTTGTATATTGAGTAGCGTATCTCGTAGTACGAGATCTGTTTGATATGTAGGATTGATTCTAGACATGTTGACTGTGGCATGCCTAATTGACACAGGTACACAGCGGCGTACATGTTACAAGCTACCCTCTGCCTTCTTCCCCGCCTTCTGGAACAACTCTGGGTGGTCAATCGCGTACTGTGCGCCTGCCGCCCAGTGATACAATTTCGCTGCAATTACATACCCTTCCTTGGCAAACTCCTCTAATCGCGTATACAGCTCAGCCACGGGAATATTAACACGCTGAATATCCTCTCCCTCGTCCAGATGCTGTTCAGGCTCTGGATCCCCTTCATTCAGATGAATCTCCACCATGCATAGACATAGATTCGCACTCGTCATTCCGGGGTCTGCAGCTACAGCCGGAGAGGTAGAGACAACAGTGCCCTTGTACCCCGTCTCCTCGTACAGCTCGCGCACAGCTGCTTCCTCGGGCGTCTCATCCTTGTCGATGAGGCCAGCGGGCCACTCGACAGTAAATCCGCCGACGGGCGGGCGGAACTGGATCACCACAATGGTCGATGGTGGCTTGCTGGGGTGGTAGATGATGTTGCCCATAGCCACGGCGTCGACGCCTGCGCTGCCCGTTGTCTTGCGGCTAGCAATTTCCCAGATACGAGATGCGCCGTGGGCGTCGGTGTAGGTGGCCTTTTGCAGTTTGATCCATTTTGCCTCTGACGAGGGCAGTTCCGTGAGGGATGTTATTTTGGGCGTTGTCTTGTTGTTGTTCGAGGCCATTGTTACGGCTTTGACGCGGGATACAAGCGTAGATGTGAACGGGTGCAGTGTTTTGTGGAATAGACGGTTGAGTATTGGCTTGTTCGCTTTTCTTGTCGTGTTCTTGAATGCCCTTATTAACATTCAAGGCAACAATGGATGTGGTCGTGATTGCTCGCAGTAGACAGAGTGTGACGACGACACTGTCTAGGAGAGTGAGGGGCACAGCTAGGCAAAGATGAGCAAGACCGTCAAATCCAAGAGGCTGAGTATAGATTGATTAGAAAACTAAATAAGAGGGGTTGTTTCGCTTTCTCAAGTCGTCTAGATAGATGACACAAGATGTGGTGCAAAGGCTCCAATGGAACGGTCACGATTGCAAGACCCCGCTGCATTAGCGTCAGGAACACACGACAAGCTCACCTTACGTCACGGGAAAGTATTGCAGGGATCGGATAAGCATTGATTATCGATACAAACTTTACACAACGAGGTAAGATTCCAGATCTTACATGGTCGCTGTTTCGCCATTTCTAATGTCTTGTTGATCGTCTTGCGGTTCTGTGCAGCCGTACTTACCTACGTAACTTTTCTTTTTCCATATTCCCAATTGAACATGCTATCACTTCGCGCCATCCAACGTGCAACGCCAAAACTTCCCGCACACTCAAGAACTATTCATAGATCCTTTGCATCTACAGCTCGCCTAGATGCAGACTTCACACACGCTGTGATAGGTGGTGGCGTTGTGGGACTTGCCATAGCCCGTAAATTGCAGTCTCGGCCCTCAACCTCAACAGTCCTGATAGAGAAACATGGAACCGCGGGTACAGAGACAAGTTCACGGAACAGCGAAGTCATACATGCAGGATTGTACTATGGTCCCTCGTCTCGAAAAACCAAACTCTGCATCAGAGGCAAAACCTTGCTGTACGATCTCTGTACCCAACAAGGCATTCCCCACCGCAATACAGGAAAATGGATTGTAGCACAAGACGCCGAGCAAATGGAGGCTTTGGAAAATGTTCACGACTTTGCCCAGAATATCGGTGTACCGACAAGATTCTTAAGCAAACAAGAGGCAGCAACAAGAGAACCCGAGGTCCGCGCCGAAGCAGGCGTCCTTGAGAGTCCCAGCACAGGAATCATAGACTCCCACAGCCTGATGCAGTACCTCGAAGGCGACTTTGAAAACAATGGCGGAATCTGCGCCTTCAACTCCCCAGTCACCCGCATCACGCCGATAGATTCAGGCCGCAGCGGCTGGGAAATCACAACCACAACCGCTGAAGAAACAAGCACCATAACAGCAGAAACCCTCATCAACGCCGCAGGCCTCTACGCCATCCCTCTCGCAAACACCATCTTGCCTCCTTCACGCCAGAAAACTGCCTTTTACGCAAAAGGATCCTATTTTTCATATAGCAGCTCCCGGCCGCGCACATCCACGCTCATCTATCCCGCTCCTATACCAGGCCACGCGGGGCTGGGCACACATCTGACGCTCGACCTCTCTGGCCGCATCCGCTTCGGGCCGGACGTCGAGTGGACAGATTCGCCCTCGGACTACACTCCGAACACCAAGAACCTAGCGGCCGCTATTGCAGACATCAAGACGTATCTACCGGGTGTGCAGGCCGATGCCATAGCCCCGGATTACGTGGGTATACGGCCCAAGCTGGGGAAGCTGGCGGCGACGAATGGGGGTAAAGGGTTTCAGGATTTTTATATAGAGAAGGAGGGAGGGTTTGAGGGGTGGGTTAACCTGTTAGCGATTGAGAGTCCGGGGTTAACGAGTTGTTTGGCCATCGCGGAGGAGGTGGAAGGGTTGTTGTATCGGTGATTCTTTATTGTTGTTCATCACTATCTGATTTTCTTATAGTTATCGGATTTGTGTGCATGTTTAGAAAACTTTGTACGAATGCGAATGAATATAACTGATAGTTTTGGGAAATTGATCATGTCCTATATACCAAGCATAAAAAATGAGTTGAACAACATTTCTAATGGTGAACAACCCTTGTTATCCATGCATTAATTAATAACCTTTGATCACGTCTAAAGTTACATTGCCCAGCTCTCTACCTCTCATCCTCAATCTGTCTCCTCAAATCCTCTAACACGGCCTTTCTACTCTCCAAATGCGCCTGTAATCCCTCGACTTGTTCTCTCACCGTCTCAATCTCTTCTCTGATACCGCCCAACCCCTTGACTGCGCCTCCGTCGTCATTGTCAAGCTCCTTGAGAACGTTGCGCTTGTAGTCAAGTAAGAGCTCTAACTCGCGCTTAACCAGCGCCGGCTTGCTATCTGTGTTGCGGCCATGCCGCCTCTTCTCGACTTCCTTCTCCACGTCCGCCATTTTTTGCTCAAGCTCACGCAGCTGCTTTTTGAGCCGGACCTCTTCCCAGTCTTCTGTTGTGCGGCCGCCAAAATCTGTGCCCTTTCCGCCTCGCGCACCGTAGCTGTTCGCACGGTCACCGACACCCAGGCGTGTGAGGTATGCGTCACCAAACTTTGCTTTGCGGCCCGAGGCGGTGTTCTCATCGCGTGAGGCCGCCCATCGCGAGTTGGCGCTGGAGTTGATATCGTAGTCTATGTGCGCTTTTTCGAAGCTTGCTCGCAGCGACGGGGGTACGCTGCGTGGGACGCGGAATCCCTCGCTTCGTTGGTTGAGAATATGTAGGAAAGTCAGAGCAGCGTCCTTGCCTACGCTTTCTCGTGCCTTAGGGTTGACTAGGTTCCATGCAAAGCGTATGTCCGAGTCCGGCACGTCTTCGAGACTGTCGAACAGCCCAGCCAGACTGTCAAAGGTGATGTTGCCGTGGCCGTCGCGGTTGGCAGTATAGATTTCCTCGTACTTGGCCTTGTCTCCGGGCGACATGTACCAGTCGAAGCCGTCACGCAGGCCCGGTGTGTCGTCATCGTCTTCGACCGTCTCGTATGCGGGTTGTGAACCGGTAAGAGCGCGTGTCGCTTGCACAAGGTGTGCTTTTGACTCAGGAACAAGCCAGTCGGGCAGGACTTTGGGAACATCGACTGATACCTACGAGGCTCTTGTTAGTATGCATATGATGCCTGACTTTGTCGTGTGCGACATACCCCATTAATCAGGTCAAAGATGAGTCGCATAGCCACGCAAAACTCCTCAAAGTCCAGCTTGCCGTCATTGTCCACATCCGCAAGATCCCATACGCGTTCTAGTTGATCGTCTCGGAGGTGCGAGTTCTTGAGCACAGGGGCGGCCTGCGCGCCGTCGAGATGGGTACCGCCATTGCTGAGTGAGCTGAAGATCTCCCAGTACTTTTCGATTTCGTCCTGCTCGATGCGATTCGGCGCCATATTGCAGGAGTGATATATGCCTTGAGAAGGAAAGGAAAGCAAAGTAAACCAAGGCAGTATGGGAGACGTTTGGGTACAGTTGCGGGCGGTCGGAATGGCGGAGCTGTCTGGCCGCGACTGGTGCTGGCCCGGGGGTGGGTACGTACCATCCATCGGGCTGCTACTGACTAGCCGAACCCGCGACACCTCATCGTCATCCTCTCCACCACCAGACCATAAGCTTAGCACTGTTATAGATTATTAAACAACAGCAGCAGCAGCTCACTCTAACACGCTCAAATCGCAATAACCACTCCATAAATCAAAAAATACAAAACATTCTTTGAGGTTCGATTCGATCCTTATTTGTCTAAGTACGTAGCAACTCCATATTACACTTCACATCAACCCAACAATGTCAATACAACCGAAAAACCAGAGATTCCCGCATTTTCCTACTTGGTTTACGCCCGTGCGCAAAATGTACAATCAAATGATAGACTGCATGCATCGTGCAAAACATGTAACAAACAAACACCGCTAAATGCAACCTTTTTCAACCTTGCTCTGTCCTCACTGCTCAAGCCATGTTGGCAAGCTCGTGATCAATAGCCTGGGCAAGGAAGACCTTGCGCTCGCCCGTGAGCTGCACTTGCAGCCTCTGCTCAGCAAGCGCGATGATCTGCTTGCGCGTTACCCGGTCCAGATCCGCGTCCTTGAGACACGCCTGTACAGTCTCGATGATCTGACCATCACTAGGTCCGTTCATCATGGTCTGGAAGTTGGTAGTGCTGCCCGGGCGTGACTGGCTAGCACCATAGCTAAGAGGGCTTCGTCCGCGAATCGGTGGTGTAGACGCCATGAGATTGTCCGAGCTCTGGAAGCCGGCCATGCTCTGGCGTTGACCATAGGGAGACGCCGTGTTGTTGCGGTAGTGGTCGCTCATGTTGCCCATGGACATGAGACGGCCGTCTTGTGGGTTGTCTTGGTACCGTGTCATATGCGAGTATGACGACTGGCGACCCTGCATGCCCTGATAGGGACCGGGAGACTGAGGTGGCATGTGCGAGATGTGATGCATGTTAGACAGGACGGTCGATGCTGGTTTGACTGACGAGTAGACGGATTGCATGTCGTTCATCTCATAAGCCTCGTCTTCGTGTGCGTTGAAGCCACCCTTCTCAGTACCCATACCCGGGAGACCGCGGCGACCGGGGAGATCATTGCGTTCAGCGTACTCGTCCCATCGCATCATGGGAATGGCCTTTGGATCAAAGCCTTCTTCGTCAGTCGTGAGGACTTGCTTGGTTCCTTGCTCACCAATAACGACACGAGTGTTACCCCACGAGAAATCGTCCTGCTTCCAGAACGAGTACATGGGAAGCGCGAACGAGTAAATGGGGAACGCCATGAGGTAGATGATCATCCATCCAACGTGTTGCCACTGTCGCTTGATGATGAAGATGAGTGCCTGCAGACCGTACACGGCAGCCAGCATGACAATGGACAGCAATGGAAATTGACCTGTGCCGGAAGAGACCATGTAGACCAGGTAGACCAAGTATGCGCAAATGGACGGCAGCATGAGAGTACCGAAAAGATCGACAAAGACGACGAATCGCATGGAGAAACAACAGAAACCGCAGAGATCCTTCAAGAAGACAAGTTCAGCCAAGTTGTGAATGGTAGAGTTGATCCATCGACGTCTCTGGGAAAGCAAAATGCTCCAGGTATCAGGAGCAGCAGTAAGAGCGTAGGCGTCGGGGATAAACTTGTACGACATATGAGGGAAGTACTTGGTCATCAGGGTGGTCAGATAACGATCCTCACCAAGCGAGAGCAGGTTCTTCTTGTGCAGTGTGTCTACAACGCAGTCGGCATAGTCCTTGATGATCTTGTCCGAGATAAGCAGAGGCTTGCCCTTATCGGCAGTACGGAGACGGTACATGGTGAAACTAAAACGCATTAGTAACGGTCTAGCCGTAGCATCAAGGACATAATACTCACCATCCAGGCAAACAGGTAACACTGCCAAACAAACTTTCGAAAGCCTTTGACAAATGATGCGAAATGTAGTACTCGTAAACTTGGATCATAGTCCACCAGGATCTGTCCTCGTTTTCCAAGCTTGTCTCGCCACAGATACCAGCAATCTTGGAGTCGTGGGTACAGGCTGCCACAAGACGGTTGAGAGAATCAGGCTTGACCAGGGTATCGGCATCAATCATGAGCAGATACTCGTACAGCTCAGGGTCAACACCAATAATATTGTTGATTTGGTGGAACATCTCGAGTTCAAGAGGGTTCATAGCAGATCGGTGGTGGACACGGTTGAGGAAGCTCATGAGCAAGATTTGAGAATCACGCTTTCCACGGTTACCGGGCTTGGACTTGGATTGTTCGGACTCCTTGCCCATCTTGACGACAACAATGTACGGAACGACGTTGCCTTCAAATTCGTAGAGACCGGAGTAGACCTTGCCGTAGTTGAGCTGCTGGCTTCCTTCACCGACAGACCAGAAAGGAAGCGCTGGTGGGTCGACCTTGGGATCAACACCAAGAATGTCAAGTACAATCTTGGGCGTAGGGCGATCGTTACCACCTCCGACAATCATTCCGTCGCAAATGACGCAGATGAGCTTGCGCTTGTTATCGTATGCGAGAGCAGTGAGTGAGTCGACACTCTTTCGGATAGAGTCCTCGCCTTCGGTATATGCTGGAACCTGACAAATGACAAACTTGTCCTGGTTGGCCGGGCGCTTTCGGGAACCCAATTGGAGCGCAGCCAAGAACTTGATGACAATGACTGAGCAGAGCATAATGGTAAAGGCAAGAAGGATGTAATCGTTGACCACACACTTGGCATCCTTACGGAAATCCGTCCTACCAACGTAGAAGAGATTGTCCAGGCATTGAAGATTGAAGGCTTGTGAAGTGTCGTTGAGCTTGTTCGAAAAGTCCTCCGAAAGCTCGCCACCAGCGTTGTTCTTAATCATGTCGACTAGTTTGGGGTCGAGGAAGTTGTACTGGGGAAGGTCTTGCATATAGTCGATTGTAACGAAGTAGTTTGTCAAGTCGTAAACCTTTTCCTTGAGCCTGAACCACATGCGGTTGTTGTCTTGGCCTTGAGTTTTGATGTCGTCAATTTTCCACACAAGTTCTCCCTTGCGGTATTGTTTGATAGCCGGGAGGAACACCTTGGGGTACCAGTCTTCTTGTTTCAAGGCCTTACTGTCAGGCATGTTCGTTTGCGAGCCGGAAGTGTGCACAGCCAGAGGATTGAGGCTCTCTGCGACGGAGGTGTTGAGCTTCAGCTGCAAGACACGGTTCTGGGGGGTATCCTGGATGAGATTGGGGCAGGCAAGATATAGCGGCGGGATGATGTAGGGGTCCATGTCGGCTCCGGCCATTTCCATCATGCGCTCGTTGGTGGTCTCGGTATTGGAATCACTGTGCTGCTTCTTCCAGAAAGAGGTCAAATCGTAGACAGTACCGTGGTGGCTGACAAAGAAATCCTTTCCGCCCTGGTGAGCGGCCACTTCTTTCGTGTTCCATACCTTGTCTTTGTTGGGACACAGGAGTTTGCCAAAAGCGATAATGTAGAAGATGATTATGGAGTTGAGCAGCACGATGAGCATAACCAAAACGAGCTTTTCTCGCCATGCCATGCGAACGTCAGGTCGCTTCATTCGCCCAACCCATTTGAGCAGTGGTGAAG